TCTCTCTCTCTCTCTCTTTCGCTCTCTTTATCTCTTTCGCTCTCTCTCTCTATATATCTCTTGATTGCGTGTTTTCCCTTTCTCTCGCCCCAACCCGTTTCTCTCTCATACGCATATTCAAACCTACATACTCAGAGAGAGAGAGAGAGAGAGAGAGAGAGAGAGAGAGAGAGAGAGAGAGAGAGAGAGAGAGAGAGAGAGAGAGAGAGAGAGACGCACGCGCACTAGACAACTAGACCAGTATTCACGAAGAATTCAGCACGACCTGGTCCCAACTTAAAGCATTCCGAGCTCAACAGAGGCGCGAGCGTCACTGGCATCATGTTTAGTTTTAGCAAGCGTTTTACGGCACTTGCAACACAATATGGTCATATAAGGGCTGAAGATTAGAGTGGCTACAAGAGAGTCATTATTGACTTATTATCATCCAGTGCCATATCTGCGACAGATATCAGCGACCATGGTTCTCCATTCATTCCTTTGCTCGGATGCACACAAAAAAGCTACGTTCCCCTGATCTTTACCCGTTACCCATTTGTTTAGGTTCCCTAAGTAGGTTGTTCTGGGCCTACCCCTGTCTCATTTGCCTTTAATTTAGCCAGTGGGAGCTAGATGTTCAAGACCCTTATGTCCAAGAGAGTAACAAACGTAAAAAGAAGGAGGAGAGATAAGGACGATAGATGTTTGATATGAAAGAAGGAGCAAACCACACCAGACCACCCACCAACCACCCACACTGGCATCATTACTCGGCTAACTATGTCTGTCAAGGGAGGCATTTAGGACCTGGGTTTATAAACGTTTGGCGATCTCACAAACAAGCGCAAACACATAAGCAAACACACTGTCAGACAGACATAACATTTACCAGTACGTTTTTAATGACCCCGTCTCTGCATGCACGAAGGAATGCGAACAAAGTTTTATTGGGGAAAATGACTAAAAGAAGGGCAGTTTCAAGAAAGAATCAGTGAGAGAGAGAGAGAGAGAAAGTGAGAGACAGGGAGAGAGAGAGAGAGACACAGAGAGAGAGAGAGAGAGAGAGATAGAGAGAGAAAGAATGCCTGTGTATGT